TGCCCAACCTTCCTTCCGAGGAGTGGCTGGTGGATTTGAACCGCCAGCCTTCTGGTTAGCAGTCAAGTGCCTTAGCCACTACGCTACCAGAGCTCCCTTAAGAGACTATAGCTGGTATTAATTTCGAATTATGTCAGACTTAACTCTTCAGACAACATCTCACATACTACAAAGAAATGAAAAGGTTAAAGCCTTGACTTCAGAACATGGTTTCCTTTCTTATCTCTGCTACAGGTTACAGAATCAGAATGTGCACCAATCCCAGCCATGGCCAGTGGAGGCTGAGACTCCTCCGGGATCCTTGAAAAATGATCCAGCAGAAGAATCGAAATTCAGAACTTCCACACAGCAGGAAATAAATGTTAACATGCATACCTCCTCTCCTGTAGACAGTCCTGGGGGAAGTCCACTTGTAGATCCCCCATCCCATCTGCGGCCTAATAGATCAACAAGGAAAAAACATTCAGCTCAGCCCCAAAATAGCAAGAATAATGGTCTAGACTGGTTTGACTCCATGGCATCTCATCAGATGGAACCTCACAACACTGTTCATGTGTCTCCCAGTCCCAGAACAATTGAGAAAGAAATGGCTTCAAAAATCTCCAACAGTAAATTACTCCAACAGGGTAAGGAAAAGAATGGGCCCAGCCAAAGGAGCAAATCAGAAACGGGACAGCTCCCAGCACCAGGAGGGACAGATGCTCCATTGAGGCCAGACAAGACTTTCCATAATGAGGGTAAAAGGGCAAAAAAGCCAACAATGGCTTCTGAAGTAGCAGTACCTGCTGATGAGCCAGACTCAGTACTGACTTACCACGTTTCTAAAATACTGCACAAGCTACACAAGGAGAGAGCCCAGGAACTCTGCCAAAATCCTGTGAGGGAGCCTTCACAGCCGTCAAGCCCATGTCATCCTTACTCCAGTCCTGTACACAGCCCAGAAAACACACTGGACACTCCCAAAAGAAAGAGACTGAAATCCCAAGCTCAAGAAGAAGAACCTGAAATAGAAGGTGTTGAGAGTCAAGGACCCCCTGTTGCCAAACTGGCCAAATTTACTTTCAAACAAAAGTCAAAATTGATCCACTCCCCTGAAGACCACAGTCATGTGTCTCTTGGCACAACTGAAATAACAGTTTGTAGTCCTAAAATGTTCCAAGCTAGAGCAAGAAGAGAAACAGCTCTGCCTGCGAAGGATCCAGAAAAGTTGAGATCGACCCCAGGAAACAGAAGCTCAGGTCCATTGCAGAATGCAACAAAGGAGGTGTCACGGCAGCCACCAAAAAAAGATGTGTCAAGAGAGAAGAGGGAATGTGCCCCTGAAAAGAGAGTTATTCAGCCTGAACAGGGGAAGCAGACTGGACATTCTCACCTTACTGGTGAGAGAGAGAAGAAGGATAAAGGCAGCAAGGTCCATGCTTGCACATTAGCCAAACTGGCGAACTTCTCCTTCACTTCTCCCTCTGAATCCAAATCAGAAACCCCTCCTCCTCCTGAAAGTAAAAACTGGATTGAGAGAGACCTAAACCCTCCTCCTACCACCACAGATACAATGCTCGGCAGTAAAAGAAAAACTTTTCAGTTAGAGGGATCTACTGAAAAATGGATTACTTCCACAAGGTCTATCTTTACATTACCAGAACTAGATGATGAAGCATTAGATTTTGACTGGGATGAAGAGATAAGAAAAAAAACATAATCATGAAAAGCTTTCAGGTCAAATTTCAACCTCTCCAACTCAACACAGCACCTTCAGCATATATCAGTGTGATGTTTACAAATGTACCAAACTCTTGGCCATATCAAATACCGTTCTTAACACCAGGCTCCTCATCAGGTTTTGTATTTCTGTTGTATTTCAGTTGTATCTTCATGACTTTAAAACTTGTATAATCAGTTTAGGTCATTGTGATATCAGCACTTGAGTGGAATTAGTTGACTTTGGGCTTAGTTTTGCAAACAAAGTGTTTGTATTCCCAAGATGTTTCTTTTTGTTTGTTTGTTTGTTTGGGGGAGGGGGTCTCTTCCCTGGAGTCTTTATTTTGTTCACTGACAACAAATGCCAGGAAGGTAGTATGCATGTAGCTAACATAACAGATGAACTTTTTCAGTTTTTTCTTTTGTATTTTCACCTGGGATGTACTGAGCACCGTGAATATTATAATTTGGGATGATTTGCCAAAATCATGTGATTTTTATAATATTATTTTTGTATTTATTCTCATGCATCAGATTAAATATAGCCAAATAGTTTTCTTTCTTTGAGAGGCATCCTCACAATTCATGGCAGTCCTAAAGATCTGGTCAAATAGTAGATTTGTGAAGTACTGAACTTCTGAGTTTTCCATACTTTCTTGAGCCAACATTTTGAGTTTCAGATTTTTTTTCTCTCTCAGGACTGACCTTCAATATAACTTAAATCCTATGCTTGGAAGGGAGAGTATGCAGGCGTCTCAATCATTCATCATATTGCAGCTACCCAGATGGTTAATATGCAAATGTGATACCTGCTAAGTTATGATTGATTTGTCTTTGTAGCTAAGCATTTATTAAGCATATTAATATGTTTGGTAGGAATAGAAAACTCAAGCTTTGTCTTATATGCTGTTTTTTT